TTGATTTGATTTGATCAAATATTTGATCTCAAATCAAATTCAAATATAGAAATTTCAAATCAAATCAAATTCAAATTAACATAATATTTGATTCAATTCGAAAATATTTAATAAAAATTACAAATAAATTTGATTTGATTTGATTTGATCAAATTAAATCAAATTCAAATCAAGAGCTTATTTGATTTGATCAAATTCAAATATGTCTAATATTTGATTCGATTCAACTTTGAGTAACCCTACTAAATATATTTAATTAATTTCTACTAACTCCTGTTCAACTAACATAATACATTCCAATGATTATATCCTATATACCAAAATTGACTCATCATCACTTATTTACAACACTTATCTATTAAGACTTAACTACAACTTAATCTTAGACAATATCAACAATTAAAAAACTTCACATTGAGACTAATATAGACTCCTGGTATACTCTGAATAGAATTCAAAAATGTTTAAAACTCAACCCCGACATTAATAAGACCCAATCTTCTAATATCTTTGCTTTAATAACCAACTGTAACAACATTATACAGACTCTAAAACATCAACGATTAAAAATTTTAAGATTCTAATAAATGAACTACCCAATTAATCAAATCTATTTAAATACCAACTACACAAATTTCTCTCTCCTTATTGTAAGTGCTATAATAATGAAATCGAAACAGATACACACTAGCTCATTTGCCATACTAACAACATTACCATGTCTACCCTCCTCAGAAATACCATAACTCAATTTGCTTCCAAACATAATCTCATCTTAACAAATATTAACAAATTTATTTTAGCATACATTAAGATCCATATAGATAACCAAACACCTATAGGCTTAATAACCGAAGATATGCTAACACCTATTTATAACCACATTATACAATCTTAACAAAAATACAAAAATCAATCTGGATCCCAAGTAGAGTTCCACTTAAAAACAATAATAACACTACCCAACTGGTCCCTAACACCATCCAAGGGTCTTCTTACCAACTTACAACTGAAGATATCCTACTATGAAGTAAACTCCTCTCATAGCAAAAATGCATATATTAAATTTAATTCATCCCCTCATTCAATTCTAAATTCATAGCCTAGAGGTCTTTTAGCCTACCTAGCTAAGGTTAAGATCTATAGTAAAGTAGCTCCATCCCCACTTCACCTAAAAATTTATGTAAACTTACTTTGTAAAATCTGCATAATGAATAATAAAGGAACTGAGGGAAAGACCGCTGACCTAATTTCTGATCCCATACTATGCAAAGACAAAAAATTAGACATAAGTTTATTACTTTACAATGGATAATAATAATAATCACAATAATAATAATAATCACAATAATAATAATAAATAAACCAAAAAAAAAAATCGAAAGAGTTTTTTGAAATACTAGGTTATGCAAAACAAACGAAAAATTCGCTTTGTATGGCCAAATGTTAATTACTTTAATTAATAAAAGGTATTTATTCACTAAATATTGAATATAACAGTTCGAATATAAATCCAGAAAATACCTGTAAGCAAAGTTCTTAGGCATTTAATCAGTTTAGCTTGACAGTATTTCTATTAATATAACCTTATATTGAATACAAGTTTCACTTGGTATCATTCGCGCTATAAAATAGTTCTCCATAGATAGATATCCTTATTCAAATCTTCGAAAAAATTAAACTTCCTAAAATAAAATTATAAAATTTAAACGAGTATATTCCAGCAACCGCCTAGCTAGGAATGTTAAATAGTCCAGTCTGGTCTATTTTGGTCCAGTCCTGGCCCGCTCTAATATGGTCACTAGTTTTAAGACTTTGTTAGTCCAGACTGGTCTTAAGACTAACGGTGGTCCGCTGGTCCAAGTCGGACCACATACTGTAGCATCCCTACACCTAACCAAATCCGATAAACGTTTTATTTGAATACTGTATTTACGCGTTATTTCGAGACCATGCGCGCTATTTCGGAACATGCATGCGTGGTAACTTGAATTATTTTGACAAATTTTTATTACCAGAGGAAGCCCTACTTTTATTAATGAACTTAGATTGAAAAATTCGATTAAAATATGCAATATGGTATATAGTATGTATATTTAAGAGGGACGCGTTACTTTGGGACGCACATAGGCGTTATTTGGTGTCAAACAAATAAATTTCAAAAAAGAATGGGAATTTCGAAATAATGCGCATGTGTGTTATTACGCGTAAATACGATACTTAAATATATATATATTAAAATAAAATTTTTATCAAGTTGATTAGATAGTTATCAACACAACAATATAACTGCTTAAAATTTAAAAGTATCTTGATAACTATTTATGGTTAAAAAAATTTTTTATTTAGATTCTGATGGTATATCTGATATTGAAATTGAATTTTAAATAAAAAAATTTTTATCGTATTTGATTAGGTAGTTGAGAGGTCATGGAAGAATTTAGCAAAAACCCAGATCCGTATGTATATAGGTGGAAAATTCGATTTAGTTAATACTGCTCAAAAGCCCATAATATTTTTATTATATATATAAACATATCTTTGAATAAAATTTCAACAATTATATAAAGCCATGTATTAAAAATTATATTATGCATGATCAAATAACAATTATTACATTTTTTTGTAAAACACGTATTAACCCACACAACATACTAAGGCAGTAATAGAGATTTTTGATGAAAAAAAAAAACTAACGCTAAATATACATGAGGCACAAATGAGGGTAAAAGGTATTTTAACACCTAAATACAAAAATGATTTGTCAAAAAATATGATAGTACTAACGAGTATTAACGAGGTAAAAAAAATAAAAATTAAAAAACTAGTCGAAATAATTTTTACCCCATGTATAAAAAATTACATATTATTTTCATTAAAAGTGATGACAAGCATCAATTTTCAATTAAAGCAATATCTTACAAAAATAAATAATAATAGGATCACACATCACTAGGAAGTGTTATTAAATAAATAAAAGAATGCAAATTGTGTGAATATAAATATAAAGATAAGGATAATGTAAGATAATGCAAAGAATCTCGATGGTGTGTGAATTATTGAGGGAATTATTGTAAAGGGGAAAAGTTGATTAGGGATTTATATTTGAATCTACTTATCAGAAAAGTATACCAAATCACTCATTAACCAAAAAACCTTCCTAAAAAGGTATCTAAATGTCCTTCTTTTCTTTCTAGTTTTTTTACAAACGCCATCCACTTGTCTAATCATTCTAACTAAACTATAAAAAGCTCTACAGACATTTATACTTTGTTTTGAAGAAGTTTCGAAAAACTCACAATTAAGTTTTTTAGCTAGATCTTCACCTTCTTCAAGAGAAACTTCACGTTCTGTAGTTTTTTCACATCCGTTACCCACTATTATTATTGGAACTTGGACACTATCCTTGGTTCGGGTGACATGGTTATGTAATTTCTCTATTCCTTCAAATGATTTTCTCTTCGATATCGAATAAACTAAAAGAAAACCATCACATTCACTAGAATGAGTATCGTAATCATTAGTATTATTATCGAGTTAATGAACGTACAAAAAGACAAGAGTTGTTTAATCATGCTTACTTGACCCATTTGTCAAGCAGTGCTATATAATCCTCTTTATAAATAAATAAATAAACATATATAATTAGTATAATTATCATTACTACCCTTCACCAACACCCTTTGATTATAATTTCAAAAATATACCTTGACCAGATGTATCAAGTATTTCTAGAATACAAGGTATATCATCAATAACGCATTGCACACTATATGAATCATAATATCTTGGGTCATAAGTCTATAATAATCAATAAATAAAAATCAATAAATACTCTTATAAAATCTTATAATGTTTTTTTTTAAATCAACTTTTTAAAATATCCATACATACTTCTATTTGCCAGTAACGAAAATAATTAAATTAATGAGTAATAATTCAAAAAAAATGATAACATTATTAAATATGAAATATACCAGATAAACAGCCCTGACATATCTATCAATAGACATAAAAAAAATTGATCAATAAAACCATCCTAACGCAATGACGAATGTATATAAATGAAATTTAACAACCAACCTGAATAGTAAGTTCGGTCTACATTAAAATAAATCCATAAAAAACAAGATAAGAGAAATAAGTTATAAATATTGATAAAATAGAAAAGAATTGATAAAATTTTTATGATTTTTTTACCTTTCCTACACCTTCCATTCCAAGAACTAGAAGTTTATGTGTTTTCATTTGTGGAATAGTTAAACGAGAAAAAAGGATCGGTCGTTTCAAAGGACAAATATAAGGGATTATGATTTATGTAAATGAAAGTAATAAATATCATTAGTTCATAATATTTCATTCATTAACTAAATCATAGTGATAGTAAAGAACGTATAAAAGAACTAAAGAAAAAAAAAAAATCTAATCACCCAAAGCCCATTTAAATATAGAAAATATCAGAAATAGATGACGTTTTTTGTGTTTACATCCGACCTAATTTAATAACAATGTTTTGTAAGCCATCTCCTGATCTCGGAATTATTTTGTTCAATCTCCTTTTGTTAATAAATGGTAGTACAATTGTCTCAAGTTGTTTACATAAGTATCACGGAAGTCACCGAAGCATGCAAACAAATGTGAGCCCGGTTCTGTGTCAATTACGATTTTTAGGAATTAGTCGAATTAACGGCCAAACTCTTCTTAAATAAGCCACTATTTTGAGAACCACACATAATGCTCTTCAAAAAATTGCATTGTACTAATATACCATATACAGATTATTGAAAATCCGTTATATAAATGGATATCAGACTTTCTATTTATGACACAATGCAAGCATTACCTCCTGATAGAGGAGAGATAGATACGATGATAATGAATTTTATTGGTTTTGTTATCAAAATTGTGTTCTAGATGAAAAAACAACAATATTTTTTATTTGTTTGCTGTTAAGATTCTGAAGCAGTCCTACTTACTTACTGTACGTATTAGCTTTTAGAAATTTTTTTTTTTCATTATTGAAAATTATTGAAACTTTTTAGAAATTCGGCAATTTATTGAAGAATCAGTTCTCTTTTAATGAGAAAAAAAATTCGGAAAAATTTTTTTAATTTTCGGTGAAATCCCACGTTTTATAATCTTAAAATATTATAAGGCAGAAAAAAACTCGTTTAAACAACTTTTTATGACGGTTCTAATTGGTAATTTTATTGTTTGATTCTAATTATTGGATTTTTTTTTTATAGTAATTTAATTTAATAATATATAAACTAAAATTACGCATTCTACAAATATTAATAAACAGGAAAGGAATTTTTAAATCCTAATTTAGTTAGTTTTTTTAAAAAAATTTTTTTTAATAAAAATACTTCGGGCTGAAAAATTTCAAAGTCACATGACACGCATATGATAAAGATTCAGGCTACTTTGTAAAATTCGCATTGTTAGAATATATTAAACGTGCAAGACCTTCGTAATGAATCTTTGTTAAATTAATCTGTCGTTAAGTGAACTTTTATACAGTAATACTGTGAAGATTTCAATTTCACCCACAAATTACTATATTTTAATACTTATCTGTTATCTATCTCAATTAAAAGATGCGATATTTACTTAACATTTATCCTTATTCAGATATTGACTGACGAGTACGTACTACGTATGAGGTTATGTGAGAACGACAACGATAACAGTTAGATAAAAATAGAATGTGGCTTTCGTAGTAATTTTAGCAACTTACATAATTTGTGTACTGCAAAGTGAAAACCTGGGAATGAATATTTAAGCTTTCACAGTGGGTATTTAGAGCCCCTTAAAAAATTATATTACGTTAAGCATTGATGATCGGTGTGATCGAAGTTTTGGAATTCCAGTAATACAAGAATGTACAATAATATATGTCGCGGATGATGGTGAAATTGGATGATCGTGAAATCTGGGGGCCTTAATTTAAAAATATAAACCCTACTAA